ATAATAATAATAATGACATATTTTCATGGTTTCCCATTTTTTATGAAATTTATTCAAAACATCTGATTGTGACTCATGTAATTGTGCAAACTAGCTTACCTGATTCAACAACGATCATGAGTCTACCATTTTTTTTCAGCAGGCTCTGGAAAAACTTGATTGTTTCCTGCAGGTCATCCACATAGTAGATCATCTGTTGAGGAGATTATAAGTGCAGGTTTGAATATTGCACATGCATTTTATGTGGTTTCATTTACAATTTGCACATCTGCTGCTGCCTGCACTGCAAAAACTGTCCGCCTAACCAAGTTTTAAAACCTTATATCAGCCAAAAGGTCTTTTTGATCTTGTTTTGAGACTGATTTACTAAACAAGAACTGATTGTGTAAGAATAATAATAATCTTGTTTTCAGAATGTGTAAGATTATTTGTCTTGTTAGCCTGAAAATTTGACTCAAATTGAGTCAAAAATTTCTGCCAATGGAGTAAGAAAATTTTACTTGGTAAGATTCTTGAAATACTTGATTTGACTCAGTTTTTTTTTCTTATTTCAAGAATCTTACCAAGTAATGTTTTCTTACTCCATTAGCAGAAATTTGACTCAATTTGAGTCAAATTTTCAGACTAACAAGACAAACAATCTTACACATTCTGAAAGCAAGATTATTATTCTTACACAGTCAGTTCTTATTTAGTAAATCTGTCTCAAAACAAGATCAAAAAGACCTTTTGGCTGGATATAAGTTTTTAAAACTTGGCAAGATGGATAGTTTGGCAGGGATACAATTTAGTGACCAAAAAAAAAAAAGAAAATCTTAACCTCCTCAAAAAATAAATAAAGAATAAAAAAACCTGAATCATGTGGATGAAGTCAAATTTCTTTATGTCTCCTTTTGCTTTCACTTGCTTCTCATAGTCCTCACTGTGCATGATGTGCCAAGAGAAGGGAATGCTTTGAAGTTCGGCAGTCTTTGCTACCAAAGCTTTAAAAAAAGTGTAAAATTGAGGTGACACAACCATGAATGACTCCAATCTTATTGTTTCACTTTAAAATATAAAAGAATACCTTTAAAGTTGTCAGTGAGAGATGAGCTGCCCTCCACAATGCAGCTTGTTATGGGAACAGTTGGGAATGTTGACTTCAGCAGGGAGAGCAGCTGCACATCCATCTCACCTGAATCCGTTATATGTTAACATTTAAAAATATATATATTTTTCTTTTTTATGTTGGCTGTCGCTTTCATTTTTTTATTTTACACAACATTGTTAATATAATAACTGTTATTTTAGGTTTACACCTGATCAGTTCAGGTGATGCCCAGCAGATTTATAAATAACTTCCAGTTTATATTCAGTCACCTACCTSCACCGCTTCCAACACCAAGAACATCAAGGCTGGTTTTTCCTGCTCCAATCCTGAATCACAGGAAAAATGAGAAAAACAAACATATTTTCAATGACCCCTGCAAGAAAACATATCAAATGTTGCATAGTACTGGGTGTCAC